TTGAGGATTTTTGCATCAGTGTTCATTAGGGAGATTGGCCTATAGTTTTCCTTTTTTGTGTTGTCCTTATTCGGTTTTGGTATTAGTGTAATATTGGCTTCATAGAACGTGTTTGGTATTGTCCCTTCCTTCTCAATTTTTTGGAAGAGTTTGTGAAGGATAGGCACTAATTCGTCTCTGAATGTTTGGTAGAATTCATTTGTAAATCCATCAGGTCCTGGGCTTTTGTTTTTGGGGAGGTTTTTAATTACCATTTCAATTTCGCTGCTTGTAATTGGTCTGTTTAGGTGTTCTATTTCTTCTTTATCTAGCTTTGGGTGATTGTAGAGTTGTAGGAATTTGTCCATCTCCTCTAGATTGTTGAACTTGTTTCCATATAACTGTTCATAGTAGTTACTGATTATTCTTTTGATTTCTGCTGTGTCCGTTGTGATTTCTCCTCTTTCATTTATGATTCTGTGTATTTGTGCTTTCTCCCTTTTTTCCTTTGTGAGCCTGGCTAGGGGTTTGTCTATTTTATTTATTTTTTCAAAGAACCAGCTCTTGGTTTCATTGATCTTTTGGATTGTTTTTTTAGTTTCAATTTCATTTATTTCTGCTTTGGTTTTTATTATTTCTTTTCTTCTACTGGTTCTGGGGTTTTTTTGTTGTTCTTTTTCTAGATCTTTGAGCTTCGAGATTAGGTTGTTTCTTTGAGTTCTTTCTTGTTTTTTGATGTGAGCTTCTATTGCTATATATTTTCCTCTTATTACTGCTTTTGCTGCATCCCATACATTTAGGATATTGGTGTCCTCCTTGTCATTCAATTCAAAGAATTTTTTAATTTCTTCTTTGATCTCCTCGTTAGTCCAGTGGTCTTCCAGTAGTGTGGCTTTTAGTCTCCATGAGGTAGGATAGTTCCTTGCCTTCTTTTTATGATTTATTTCTAGTTTGATGCCTTCGTGGTCAGAAAAGATGGTTGGTATGATTTCAATCTTGGTGTATCTGTTGATGTTTGTCTTGTGCCCCAGTATGTGATCGATCCTGGAGAATGATCCGTGTGCGCTTGAGAAAAATGTGTACTCCGTTTTTTTTGGGTTTAGTGTTCTATAGATGTCTGTTAAGCCCAAATGCTCTAGGTCCTTATTTAGAGCTTTAGTTTCTTTACTTATTTTTTGTCTTGTTGATCTATCCATTGTTGATAGTGGTGTGTTGAAGTCTCCCACTACATATGTGTTTTCTCTGATGTCTGTAAAAACACTAATTTAAATTGGTTTATATATTAACTCATTACAACACTATGTACAATAGTCAAGTTATGGAAAAAACCTAAGTGTCAAAGACAGATAAATGTACCAAGATGTGGCATAGGTACACAATAGAATAATACTCGGATACTAAAACAAATTAAATCTAGCTGTTTGTGACAGTATGGATGGAATTAGAAAGGGTTATAATTAAAATAAGTCAGAAGAAAGACAAATACTGATTATTTCACACACGTGTGGAAGATAGAGAAATAAAGCAAAGGAACAGACAAAACCATCCAAACCTCCCTTATAAGAAATGTTGAAATGGAGCGCGTTCCCGCATCGCCATTTTGCAGCAGGGACCCTTCTTGCTGGAGACTGTGTGAACCCAGCAGAAGGCTCACCGAGGAGACAGAGGTAAGCTGGGAGGCTTGCCCATGCTGGGCGCCTTCTAGCCTGCAGTTCCAGCCCAGAGGGGAGCAGCACCTACCGCTGGGGCAGACCAGGCGTGCAGGGGAGCGTGTTCCCACATCGCCATTTTGCAGCAGGGACCTTTCTTGCTGGAGACTGTGTGAACCCAGCAGAAGGCTCACCAAGGAGACAGAGGTAAGCTGGGAGGCTTGCCCATGCTGGGCGCCTTCTAGCCTGCAGTTCCAGCCCAGAGGGGAGCAGCACCCACCACTGGGGCAGACCGGGCGTGCAGGGGAGCGCGTTCCCGCATCACCATTTTGCAGCAGGGACCTTTCTTTGCTGGAGACTTGTGAACCCAGCAGAAGTTCCCCAGAGGAGCCAGTGGTGAGCTGGGAAGGTCGCCCAAGATGCCGGCCAGTACCAGCAACACAGTGTCACAAGGAATACGGCAAATTAGAAAACAGGCAGTAGGGAGTAGAAAAACCACATGCAACCCAGCAACTCCTCAGCAAAAAAGCACACCACAAAAAGAAAACCATCTACCAGATTGCAACGACAGTAACTTGGAAGAACTTCCAGATAGAGAATTTAAAATTGCTGTGATTAAAAAACTGACAGAAGTCATAAAGGAAAACAATGATAAGGGGAAAATAATTAATGACCAGAAGAATGAAATTGAGTACCTAAAGAGGGAAGAAAAAGAAATGCAGGAGATCAAAGAATTAATGGAGACACTAAAGAACTCTGGGAAAAGCAATGAAAGCAGAATAGATGAAATGGAAGAACGAATAAGTACTCTTGAAGACACAGAAATAAAAAGAACTAAAACAGAAAAGGAAGGAGAAGTACGAAGGAAAAAGAACGAAGAAAGACTTCGGGAAATATCTGACTCCATGAGGAAAGGAAATATAAGAGTTATAAGAATCCCAGAAGGAGAGGAGAGAGATGTAGGAACAGAGAATATTCATGGATATAATTGAAGAGAACTTCCAAACGCGAAGAAGGATCTGAAAATTGATATACAAGAAGCAAGAAGAAACCAAAACTTCCATGACGAAAGGAAAAATACAGCAAGACACATAATAGTAAGCTCCCAAGAATCCAAGACAAGGAAAAAATAATGAAACTAACAAGAGGGAAGAAACAGATAACATTCAAAGGAAAACAAATCAGACTGACATCAGACTCTCTGAAGAAACACTACGGGCAAGAAGAAGAGTGGAGGGACATAGTCAACAGACTCCAGAAAACAATGCCAACCAAGAATACTCTATCCCGCAAAGCTCTCCTTCTTCTTTGAAGAAAGAATAAGGACCTTCCCAGACAAACAGAAACTCTGGAATTTTATTACGACTAAAACCCGCACTCCAAAAAAATACTACAAGGAGTCCTAAAGCCAGAACCTCAGAGGGACGAATAACAACAAAAGAAGGCCAAAGATTAGTAAAAGAATAAATAATAAAATCAAAGGAAAGACAAACACAATGGCAAATACAGATGCTAACATATCAATACTAACTAAATGTAAATGGACTACTCTCCAATAAAAAGACACAGAGTTGCAGCTGGATTAAGAAACAAACCCAACCTTTTGCTGTCTCCAGGAAACACATTTAGCTGCAAAAGATAAAAATAGACTCAAAGTTAAGGATGGAAAACAATTCTACAAGCAAATGGACCAAAAAAGAAGGCAGGAACAGCTATACTCATATCAGATAAAACAGATTCAAACTTAAAAAGATAAAAAGAGACCCAGTGGTCATTAACATTATGATCAAGGGGACAATACTTCA